ACTAACACCTTCTCATCTCTGTCATGTTATCCTATCCCATCTTAGGAGCAACAAGCAACGCTGCAGAGCAACACATGTTGCCGTTCTTCCAGCCAATCATGGAACAGCTCCGTGTTTACCTAACAACTGTTCAGTCTGGAGATGGGCTGACGTTACAGATCCAGGCAATAGGTACGTAGGTCAAACCCCACACCAGGTTGATGTCAGAGTTGCCTGTCTCTTTGTCACCATGTGAGGGAGCCTTTCTACACTAAGTCAGTAAGCTACATGATCCTCCATCACTCATTTTGGGACTTCACTGAGCCAATTCAAACTTTGATAGAATTCATTTTACAGTTAATCACCGATAAGAATACACTGCTCCACCATGAGGTTGTCATGAAGAGACCATTCTCCAAGTTTTCTGTTGACAGAAACCTGTGGTATTAATCTACATTTTTGAGAATGTTTTTTCTTTTCGAAGTATAGGAGCAGCATGCTGCCACCTCACAAAAAAAAACACAACCTTGATTCAATCGCAAATTGTTTACCCAAACAAGCAAAAATCAATAATAATGCAAGTCCCTGGTGTCAGCTCGGGAATAAAATTTGTCGACCATTTCCCATAATGCAGTGCAAAAGATGACTTGTCTCTGTGTCAGCCTCTTGGTGGCGCACTTTATTGTGACTGGCCTGTGTAGAACATGTTTGCCTGTTGATGTACAGATACTTTGGGTGTGCTTGCCCGCACCTTGGGAAGAGAAAACTTCCTCCCCCTCGCTGAGGAATGTCTACAACTCGGTCTGAAACTCATTGAAGAGGTCAACGACCCTGACCTGCGTAGATGCACGTAAGTACCGGCATCCCGTTGACCTTCATCCTCAGAATTGGAATGATGTTTTCTGTGCTGTACACTCTGTCTGTGGTCAGCATGCAGGCATGGTTAGCATGCAGGCTGTGAGAATGTGGGACTTGAATGGCAGTATCTGTGAACCTCCATTCCAAACCCAGGCTGACGACTCATGAGCAATTGTCAGGAAAATTAGGCCGTGTATCAGCATGCACATGAGCAATGGCAATTAATTTAGCAACTTTCATTGCCGCTTAAGTAAGGACTTTCCTCCCAAAACTTTTAACTGATAAACTTGTTTACTTTGGATCACTTTGAAGTGTGAAAATTAACCGAGGGGATGTAATTTTAAACTTAAAAATTTCCTATTTCAGTCTTGTGTAGAGATATCCAGTCAATTTGTGAACAAGCTGCAAGTGTTTTTCCTTAACCATTGTATTGCAAGAGATCTTTGATTATTTTTGCCGTCCTTGTTGGCATATTGATCAGAGTGAATTTCAAAACAATTCACTCGTTAACAAAGAAATGTGATCCACCTTTCATGATGTCGAGTGTTTTTGATTCTGTTGCTGTTTTCCAGGTATGGATTGTTTGCTTCCCTTTCTCATGTCCTCGGAGCCGACATGTCTCCGTATCTTGAGACAATCACCAAACTTATGATAGACTCGTTGCAGTCTACAGAGGGAATAGTGGTAAGTTTTGGAGACTCAATAAGACACAAGTTGACCTGGGTCCCAATTCGCCTTATCTGTTTGCAGAGTTGTAATGACTCGAGTCAATGACTCGACTCGAGGCGCATTTTGGGGTGACTCGACTCGAGTGTCTGCTGTAAAATGACTCGACTCGAGTCACAAAAATCAGTGACTCGTTACAACTCTGTCTGTTTGGAAACAGTGCTTATCTTCCTGGAGTACTCAGTATTGAATCCATAATGTTGTCTTGGATTGGCTTTGTAACACTTAAAATGGCATGTTCAGGTTTGAAAGCAAAGTCACGTGGTTCAGGGGCTTCAACCCGGGTACCGTATTTTTTCTTTAAATCTCAGTAAGTAACAATTACATCCAAGATATTGCTTCTGTTGTAGAAATAGTAATAGGTTTTGTTTCCTAGGCCCATTACAATGACGAAGACAGTGGCGTCTTGTCATTATTTGAAGACGATGATGATGATGCAGAAGAAGAGGACATTGAAGGAAGTAATCACCATGGCAACGGGGAAGAGGATGACGATATACAAGGGTAAGAGACAGAGGAGAATTTGGTCTTTTCTTGTGATTTGGAATTCCATTTTTATCCTGTCAGTCCCTGCAGTGCCCTGAAATAAAGTACGTCAGATTTGTTGATTTTCAGTTTCATTTTGGACATCGACTTCATCAACCTCAGTACCAAAGTAAACCAAGTCATATCATCCATTTCATGTGAAATGACAGCACTATCTTCAAAGTAGGAAGATCTCTGTAAGTTAAATAATGTTATTTCTTCATAGCCATCCTGGGTCCGTCACTCTTCAGGTAGGTAGTGGGGCTGACTCAGTCGGTGTCGAAAACTGCTGGAGGCATTTATCAAAACCCCGACGGAATCACCGGCAACAGCATTGGCTCTGGACTCCTTTATTAAGCCAAATCTGGAGATGAAGTTGAAGTTTCCAAACTGGCAAAACTCCAAGTGTTTGTCTTGTTGGTTGCAGGTACAGCGTTGAGAATTCCTACATGGAAGAGAAGGAAGATGCATGCAATTCCCTGGGTGAGATCTCGTCCAACACAGGGTGAGTTGTAAGCATCCCAAGACAACCTCTGGATGCCAGAGCGAGCAATGAACCAGATGGTCTCAAGCAAACTCTGACTGAAATGAATGGATTCCACACAGTTCCCTGAGGGGATTCAAAACCAGGGAAAGTGGAAAGTGACAAATCAAAAATTGCTGTAAATCCTAGCCCAAGCTACTTGCTGTGGCCAGTTGGTGTGTCAAGTGCGAAAAATGGATGTTAAGTACCCTCTGTTATATATGAGACACAGTGTTCATGTGACCTAATGTAGTCACATGATACTTGACTGCACTCCTGTATTTCGTAGTTAGCAAGAATTGAAGAATTAGATCCATTGTTGACCGCACTTTATGGGTGCAGCAAACGATGATCACATCACCATTTTTTTCTACCAAGAACTGTCATGCTGAGACTCTTTCCCTGATTGGTCTTTCCAGGGTTGCGTTCCTCCCTCACTTGGACGCATGCTTCACTGAAATGATAAAGCTGATTGATTACCCAGCGGTGAACGTCAGAAAAGCTGCCATTACCAGCTCTGGTCACATGTGCTGTAGTCTCCGTAAAGTCATCCAGCTGACAGATCCCCAAGAAGCAGCAGGTACAGATGGGAGCAGTTTCCATCTTTGAACTTTTACTCTGTCAAGGTCAATTATTATCAAAATCCTGTCTTCTGATTGGTGGATCGTTTATCATGTGTCACTGAATTACTTTTCTCAAGACACGACACAGCCACATTGAAAACAGAGAAGTGCTGAACTGCTAGTAAATGGAAATCTAATCGCTTAGTCAGAAGAAATTTCTGAACTCATAGGCCATACAAGGATTTATTTAAGCAGGGATTTATTGAGGTGATGGCAGGGTTTCTTTCCCGCATTTTACTCAGGTGTTGGGAATAAAACATTGAGCTTTGTCATTTTGGTGCATATCAACTTCAACTTGATCGGGACACTGCCCTGTTTTCCAAACTGTTTAATCTGTGATCCCAGACAGCCTAAATTCATGTTGTAGACAATATAGAATCATCAATGGAATATATTTGAAAACAAGAGCTTGTCCATATTAATTGGAAGTTTAAATGCACCCAAATAGAGCTTTTTCCTCATTCTAGCTTTGAATCAGTTTGGACATTCATTACGTGAACTTCCTGTTGTTCTACGGTGCGTCTTTCTGTGATTCTTGTCTTGGTCATTTTCCCACCTTTGCAGCTCTTGCCAAAGCGGTGGACCAAACCGTGCCCCACTTCATCCACATCGTCAACACGGAGACTGACAGGACAGTTGTCATGGCAACTCTTGAGACACTGAACGAAATGCTAGGGACGCTGCAAGGCAGTATGGTCAGCGAGCAGAGCAACTTGAGCGGCATCAGTAGTGCCATCAGGAATGTTCTCCAGCGCAAGGTGAACACTTGCTCCTCGATTTTCTCCCTCTTTCAGACCTTGTATTGGCTCCCTGCGTGTTCGGGAGAGGGCGCTGTGTAGCCTAACAAGAGCAAATGAAGAACTAACCCAGCCCATTTATTGGGGTTCATTTACCAGACAAGGGGCTCTTTCCAAATCTCGCCTTCTCCCCCATCTTTGGCCCTGTCTCAGGATCCACTAGTAGTCTCAAATGTCTGCTGTTGAAACCAAATGAAAATTTGTTGAAACCTTGTTGTCATATCAGACAATTGGATTTTTCTCCAGCAAAAATGGAACTTTTGTGAGCTGAAGTGTTTCAAATGAAAGGGGACTGAATTCATGGAATTGAACTTGTAAGTTCATGAGTGCTGTTTACCGCCTAAGTATTGATATGTATCGTTGCAGTGGACTACTTGAACAAAAATTGAAGCATCAAACTCCTCATTGGCTAGATTTTCAGTAGAATTTGAAATAAGGTGTTGATTGTGAATTGATTTTCAGTTAATCAGTTTTTCAACTTCACAGATCAGCTGATTTCCTTGCATTTCCTTGCTTTTAATATTGATATACACCGTATTAGTTTCTTGCTTTTTAATGACCAAACAGTTCTGTCTTGAATCACTTCCTCAGCTTTGAAAGATAACAGCGTAGCTCCCTTGTTTCAGCATACAACATCCTTTCAAATGCTTGTATTTTTTTTCCTCTTTTTTTCTTCTTGAAGACGGCTTGTCAGGACCAAGATGACGACGATGACGATGATGACGATGGAGATCAAGCCGAGTACGATGCCATGCTGATAGAGAATGCCGGTGATCTCATCCCATCATTAGCCAGGGGGTTAGGTGGCCAGGCCTTCGCTCCCTACTTTGCCGGCACGCTACCGCTATTGCTGTCCAGAGCTGTAAGTCATATCTCGCTGCATTACCCTGGAATGGGATTCTTTGAGAAGGGATATTAGGACGTCTAGCGTTGTGCTTTGACAGAGAACACATTTAATAGTTGTTTACTGCTATGATTTGAGACTTTGCCTTATCTCCGTGATGATGCATGAAACCTTTTGTGCCATGTATCCCTTGGATGTAAAATTCTTAGTTTTATTGTGCCATTAACCACTTGCCGCCAGGGTTTCTAGTACCGGACACGTATGCTTTATATGCCTGGCCGGGGTCTCCAAAATCAGACAAAGGGAACTGGGCCCTGTAACAAAAGACCGTACTCAGAACAAAAGACCAGGCTGCTGGGCATTACTGACATTTTTTCACTCTCAATAGTGGAGATAATCCAGCCTTGTTTTGAAACAGTATAGCATAGTTTGGGGCATTTAGAGCGAGCGGATTACCACCGGGGACAAAAGCGCTCCACCACTGCAGCGATGAGCCACTCAGCACCGCTGCACTCTAATCTGACCCCTATTGAAAAGAGGTCAGCAGCGCACTGTGCAAGGTTCGTGAACAAAAGAAAGTTGTATAACACCGCACAATCTGGGCTCTTTTTACAAGGCTGCAGGCCTGGCTGATATACTCAGGCGTCAATATATTTTGTCTGTCGGACTAGAGTAGCCACCATTCAGTCATTCATGTGGGTGTAAACATCCATTAATTGAAATGATGAATTTTTGAAGAATTTTGAAAACTGAAAATCTTGAAAATGTCCCGATTATGTGCACTGCAATTTTCAAACCACCCGGCAGCAAGTGGTTTAGTCAACTTGATAAAAAGTGTGAGTTAAGGCTGTGTCCAAAAGTTGTGGCTGTGGCTGGAAATAGCACATACATTTATGGGGGCCACTAGGTTATGGCTGTAGCCGTTACCCATAGACTTTTGTTTTACTCCAAGGCATAGTCAGTTGATTGCAAAAGAAGAATAAAATCATTGGAGTTTGGTTCATTTTTGCAAGCCTCAAGATTGACAGGATCTGATGATGAAAACGAAAGTGATGTTAATACTTTCGTGATGAATTTTACAAATTCAAAATTGGAGCAAACCTTGGAAATGATGGAATGCTTTAGGCCTGTTTCTTTCACATGGATCTGGATCAC